CCCCCCCCCCCCCCCCCAGATGTCTCCTCTCCGTGCCTGCAGCTGCTAAATATAGCTGTCTGTGGCTGGCCGCACATGCAACCGCACACCCCATTCTATCTGCCATATCTCAGTTACAGAGTGGCCCTCCCCAGGGTCATTCTATGTACACACTACATATTTCCAGCCAACTAGGAGAGTGAATCAAACAGAAAGAGAGACAAACAGAGATAGAACGAAGTCTGGCTTGGGGCACATAAGGCAGCACCGGACAGAAAGCCGGCCCCTGGATTAGGCTCGCGAGTTTGTTTTAAACCTCGTCTTCCCTGGGCCACCTTTAGGAGATCCCGCTGCGTCCCCCCCGCCCTGTCCTCCTCCTGCAGTGAAATTTAGCCTCCAACCCGCAGCGAAAAGTAAAGTAAAGTTCAGGGAAGCTGCTCTTTGGGCTCGCTCCAAAACGAGTTGCTGCCCGGAGTGATGTTTAAACCAATGTCAGTGCAAGGCAACAGCCCCTGGCCGGCTTCCAGCACCTTTGTGATGCATACGAGCGCGGGAGACCGGTACTTAAAGTTGGAGACTCGAAGCCCGGGAGTTGGCTGAGCGCGCTCGCGCCGGGCTGCACTTGCTCGCGTCTGGCCGCCGGGCTCCGCGGGACGGGCCGGCTCCCGGGGCAGGGCCAGAGCTCGCTTCGCGGTGGGACATGCGCTGCGCCGCCTCTAACCGCGGGCTGTGCTCTTCTTCCAGGTGGCCGGTCGGCTGCTGAGCCCTCTGCCGCGCGGGGAGACCGTGTGCGCCTTGCCCACGGCCACTGACCATGACCATGACCCTCCACACCAAAGCGTCTGGAATGGCCCTGCTGCATCAAATCCAAGGGAACGAGCTGGAGACCCTGAACCGCCCGCAGCTCAAGATCCCCCTGGAGCGGCCCCTGGGCGAGGTGTACGTGGACGGCAGCAAGCCCGCCGTGTACAACTATCCCGAGGGCGCCGCGTACGACTTCAACGCCGCGCCCGCCGCCTCCGCGCCGGTCTACGGCCAGTCGGGCCTCGCCTATGGCTCCGGGTCCGAGGCGGCGGCGTTCGGCGCCAACGGCCTGGGGGGCTTCCCGCCGCTCAACAGCGTGTCTCCGAGCCCGCTGGTGCTGCTGCACCCGCCGCCGCAGCTCTCGCCCTTCCTGCACCCCCACGGCCAGCAGGTGCCCTATTACCTGGAGAACGAGCCGAGCGGCTACGCCGTGCGCGAGGCCGGTCCTCCCGCGTTCTACAGGTACCCGCGCCGCGCGCCGCACCGCGCCGCGCCACGTCGGGGTGGCCCGCCGCGCGCCCGGCGGTCGGGAGGGAGGGAGGGGGCCGAGCCGCCGGGAGCTTGCCGGAGGCCGCAGGCTGCGGGGCCGAAACCCGGCAGCCCGGCCGCAGGGGCTGCGGGACGCGCGGCCCGACCCGGGTCGGTGGGCGGCGGTGGTTTGTAGATCTTGGTTCGAGAGCCAAGTTCTCTCGCTTGGCAGCTTAAAGAAAATGCTGTTCTCCACCCCCTACCATCTGCGTAAGAGGCAGCTCCGAAAACCCGTGGGCTTCCTAACTCATTTTGGAAAATCGTGTAAAGCGGCAGTTATTTGTTGGGGGAAACACCTCAAAGCAAAAACAAAACAAAACAAAACAAAACACCCACAACAAAAACCCCAGCAAAGCTCTTGGAGTCCCTAGTCAATGTCCTGCTTTGGTATTTAAGGCTAGAGGTGTTTGGGGTTAGCGGAGCTCCGAGTTTAATTTATTACTACTGTTATTTGCAATTATTTTTTAATGTGCTAGCAAAATTTCCTTTCATCTAGAATTTCGGATTAGAAATATGCACGTTACTATTATGGTGAGGATGATTTTTGTTTGTTTGTTTTAGCAAGCAATTCCCAGCACCTACTTTCTCCCCCTTCCTCTCCATCCCAAGTTCAAGGGCTTTTGGATTGAATTGCGCTCCTCAGATGAGCACTAGAAGAATTGAATGAGTCTTAACAAGTTTCTGATTTCTGAGTTATCTGGCTGGGTCAGTGTTGGAGCAGATTGCTGGCGTATGACTTCTGACAGTCGAAGATTTATAGGTGTCTTGTCAGTTTACAACATGTGGCATCAAAGAGCATTTTGAAATAACTCTTCTAGCTAAGTTACATCTCCGGCCTACCGGGCAGAGAATGCCGCCCCCCCCCCCCACCCCAGTGGTGTGCGGGCTCAGGTGGGTTCTGTGCCTTTCAGTCTGTAGAAGGGGTGTGAGCATTCCAGGACATGCAGTAACACATTTGTGACTTAAGTGGCCAGTGTTTTGTGTCTTTATTCTCCCCCACCCCCACCCCCATCCCCAGGATTATACTTTTCTCCCTTCTCCCATTCCCCTTTGACAGTTTCTCTGTTCTCTTTCTGATGGACCTGGGAAGGACTTAGGTGGGTGACTCTGATGAACACCTGTGCCCTAGCCACCCAAGGCCAGCTAGACTCTGGAGTGGGTTTGGAAGGCCTCAGGGTGCCCACATGGCTGGGTACTAAGTTAGGCACAGACTGCAGACTGGTGTCTGGACTGGCCTCCTGCCCTCACCTGGACCCTTGTGCATTGCAAGACGTAGACTGTTTTCTATTCAGTGTTCTATTTCCAGAGATATTCATAGCAGAAGAAACAGGAGGAAGGCACAGTTTGGCCCCAGATGGTACTGAAGGGCATCCTCTTGGGGTATCTGAACACACCCCCTATCCTTCAACCTTCTCAAAGGACTTTAGAGCATCCCACAGCCAGAGAGGTTCAGACTGAATTATTACTTAAAAGACAAAGAATGAACAAAACTTTAAAAAGGTGGCGTATTTCGAATTAATTTTACTTGTTTTAATTCAGGGTTAAAATGGAAAGAGAAAGAATCTCTTCCTTTTTTTTTTTTTTTTTAAGTGTTAGAACAAAATATAACGATTAAGTCTTATTCTCACAACCTTTTAAACTCCTCAATGTGAAGGAAGGCACTGGTATGATGTGAATTCCATAACCTTCTGGTGGACTCCAGAAACTATTTTCCTCTCCATTTAATTTTCAGTTCTTTTATTGCAAATTAATCCTACTGAATTCAATGGGCACTAATGAGACTGCTCCTTGGTGGATTATTTACTGCCTTGCTACTAATTACAAAGTGAGCATGGTCACATAAAGAGGGGACCACATTTTATTCAGAATTGTTCATCATCCCAGTGGCAAATAATATCACTATGATATGCCCCATCTTAAACTTTTTGCATTGGATGATATTCAGATATGTTTGGAATAGTGAAAAAAAATGACACGGAACTTTAATAATGAAGTAAAAACTCATACACGTTGGATTCCACGTGGAAACTCCGTTTTAGAATGATTTTTTTCTTTGTAGTTTATTTCCTATAACGTCCTTCGTTTGAATGCTGCCTCTCAGGAACCAGGGCAGAAGAGATGACTTCATGCAGGTGTTGTTTCAAATGGACAGATGTTATTTAATATTTTTACCCTCTCAGTTTTCGTGTTTGAATAACTCTGGGTACAAAGAATTGACCAGGCTTTTGTAGAAACTGTCTCTTGTCTTCAGTAGTTTCCAAAGTTTTGGGAGTTGAAAGCAGTGTTTTGAAACTGCTTGTCATAACCCCAGGGATCATGAAATCAGTTTAGTGATTCCAGAGCATTTTTTCTTAAGGAATAAAATAGAAAAGAATATCACAGAAGATATCAGAGTGCATGATATTTAGTAAGGGTGGGTTTTGTTCTGGAAAATTTGTTTTAATTATATATGCTTGTATGAGCCGACTATGATGTAAAATATTTCTTGCTGTGGAAGTTTGAAAGTTAGTGGCCTAACGTGTTATGATCAGTAGAGACAAAAAATTAGGGTAAGTGGTTGGTCGTTTTAGCTAAACAAACTAAAAAGCTATTTAAATTGTCTTTATTTTATTTCCCCCCTAGAAGTTAGCTGGTGTCTTCAGGTCAGTTAGATGAAGCTTTACTATTTGTGATTCTTAACTTTTCCATTTGTAAAATGGTGCTGTCATGTGGATTGTCCTGCCGAATGTCCCGCTGGGATGTTCAGAGAATTTATGTGAAGTTCACATCATTTAGCATGAAGATATTATGGTTACTTTCTTCTAGGGGCCACAATATGCAGCCGTATCGATCTATAGAGGAATGTAACAGATAAAACTGCCCTGGGCATACAATAATGTGAGAAAGATGGTCACGCGTCCCAACCAATTGTTGAGAGGGAATATATTTGTAAACAGGCAGAGCTGTGACTTTGCAAGATGTGTCTTACCTGAAATTTCATAGTGAAGGCAACTGGGAGTCATCTCAGCCTCCGTTCTTTATAGTGTTCAAACAACCTAGGAGGTTTGAATAAAACTAAAGGTGAAATATAATTATATCCACCTTGTTTTTAAAAATTCAGGTTAAGTCTTTAGTGCTCTGCATTCATTTCAGTTTTACTACTCAGTATTCTTAAAGGCTCAACATTGCCCCCGCTTCTTCCCCAAAACTTAGCAAACACACCGATTTTTTGCATCAGAGTCAATGCCCAGTAATTGGTATGCTGGCTGTGTGCATATTTTGAGTGAATAGTACGTACTTTGGTGATCATTTAAAACTATTTCTCAACTTCGAATAAAGCTCATTTCTAGGGAGAGATTTGAAGAGCCAATTTTCAAGTTTCCAATAATTCTTTCCTTGTATTTAGGTGATATTTTAGGACCCTTTATATCTGTTCTCATTTTATTCATTTAAGTTGTTACTGTTTACCTGACATTTTGCGCTGGTCTAAGAATAGTTGAAGGAGCCACCTACTGCCTCCAGAATGAGTGGATTTTAGGTTGAAAGCAGAATCACATCTTGAATCCCCATTTCATTTTCACCTACTCCATGTGGCTTGTACCTGTTTGGTAGAAAGCCTCTGAGAGATAATTGCCACTTATTCTAATCTGCTTTCTCGCACTCAGTTAATTTGGATCCTTGGATGGCTTTTGTGAATATATGTATTTCGGATGGGACATTCAGGATTTGGGAAGATCCCGGTTTAGCGTTTTGGTTTCCTATTGTTTTAACACTATAAAAGAAGGGGACAGGGGGCAAGAAAACAATGGCGGGAAACATACACATCAGGAGAAACTATACAAGATGGCAAACTTTCTGTTAATGATAAGATATTAATAATTTTGTCAGGTGGGATAATATATATGAAAGCAGTGCATAAACTATCCAAGAGTTCAATATTGTATTATTTCTTTCACCCAGTAATATTCATTCTGGTGCTTTTGCAAGCTAAAAGATAGTAGGAAAGGACAAATTTAAGTGGTCAGGAGTTTCCCTGCAAATATAAATTAATGGTAATGTGAGATAATTTTTCTGTGGAAGTCAAATTTAAATAAAATCTTTATCACCATCCGCAATATTTGCTTGCAGCCAGGCTTCTCATAAATAACGTTTGTTTATAGATACATTTTAAAAAGTCAAAACCCTGATTATGTGAAAATAGTTTTACACAAGGAAAGACATGAATTATAATTATGTTTTTTTCTAAAACACCTACTCAGCACAAAACTAATACATCTGACTCCTCCTTGCGACATTAGTATTATTTTTAATGTAACTTTAGAAGAACCCGGCACAAGGAACCGCATGCTAAATGTGTTCCTCTCTTTTCCAGGATACATTGAATGGACAGAAAAATTAGTCATTTAGCTTCATTCCAAGACACTGTTTGCTTTTTGAAGAAGGAAAGCATAGAACGGCCACAACTGTTTAGCACAAGACGCACACTCCAGAGAAAGATGCTTTATAAATCCCCAAAATGCAGACACTTGAACACAGACCGACCAAAGTGAAAGTGTGAGAGATTTCATAGAAAGGAGGCAGCCTGTCAAAGCCATCAAGTAGTTTTATTTTATATTTTAAGCATTGCCAGTGCATTGACAGATAATGCCATTTTTTGAAAAGGTGTGTTTGAGCTGTTCCCTGCTCCACCCCTAAAACGCGACGCTCCTGCTGCACTCTGAAATCCGGAGAATTCAGTGGGCTGGAGGTGAAGCCCCTTTATGATATCCTTGATCTCATGAGTTTTGCACCTCGGAGAATATTGTTAGGAATTTTGAGGGAGGCTCTGCATTAATCAGCAACACTTTCAATTATATGTATATGTTTAGACCCTGTTAAGAATATGAAAGGTAGAAAGACAACTCTTTTGGTCCCAGCTGACGAAATTGGATGTAGTTTAAGAAGGTAAATAATTT